TAATCTAAAATAATCGATTAATCGAAAACAATCGATTGAACGAAAATAATCAATTAATCTAAAATAATCGATTATTTCAAAATAATCGATTAATTAGAAGCCGTTTCTATGAGAAATCGATTTTCCAAAAAAAAATAACCGAATTATCTATTATTTTCAAATACTCTATTTTTTGGTATTTCCTTCAAAATTGATTATTCGATCTTTGAAAAATCAAAAATAATTGATTAATTAAAAAAAAAAGATTAAACAATAAATCGATTTTTCAATAAATCTATTTTCTTTTTTGTATTTCCTTTAAAATTTATTATACCATTATCAATAATTTATTGAAAATATTCGATTAATCGAAAATAATCAATTAATTATAACGATACTCGATTTTCATAAAGAAATATATTTTTGTAACCCCTATTCGAATGTATAATAAATAGTAAATATTGCAATAATTTAGATTTTTTAGTAAACATATTTTTTTTTTCAAGTTGTTTAGTGGTTTATAATGTAATATTTTATTAACAATGTTACTAACTCCCGTAATTTAATATTTTTTTGCTTATATCATATCATATTGTATGTATAAAAATACCTCCTAATAATAAAATTTCGCTAACAACTATACTTCTTTACTTCTTATTTATATATCAAAAAGGGCTAAAAACCACATTCAAGAAATATTCCTTTAAAACTACTTTTTAAAAACAAAATTTCGTTATCAACAATGCCTTTTTTCTTCTTATGTACATTAAATGTTCAAAATTTTGCCCTTTAGAAAGTTTTTGTAAGTACTATGAAATCTGTTTTCTAAAATATTTGATGCTTGATGTTTATTGAAACCCCTTAATGCGAATCTAAAGTATTCAGCTTAAAGAACCATGGCGCCTTTATGTCAAAACGTTGAAAACGAATATATTTCTTATTTTTTATAACATTGGCACTTAATTATTTCTCACCATACATCGTGGCATTTTCAACTTGAAATTGAATAACTAAAACACTTTAAATTGCTAATAACACCAACAAATAATTCAAAAAACGGCGGTCCATAATGATTCACTCTCCGAAGAAGAGCGTAGAATAGAAATGTCGGAACAATTCGGGTGGAGTCGTGGAAATAATGATTTTTAATTGATGGGATACTTAAGGTGGGAATAGACAACATGCGCTATGTGCAATGTTACATCCCCGGTCTCTTTCATCTAAGGTTAATTAGATTTTGGGCATATTCGGAGCATCTGGGGGTACTTTATAGAGAGTCGTTTCTTTACTTTAAGGAATATATCTGTTATTTATGATTGGAGACAAAAATTCGTCAACTAAAAATTGCTTGTGATATAAAATTTATTAAAAAAATAAGAAAAGTATGTATTTGAGTTTTGACTTACTCTGTACCTACAAATTTGTTTCGAATTAAAAAATTAGTGTATCGGTATAAAATATAGACTAATATCGAAAATATTGGTTTTCAATTTTTTCTTTTGAAGTATACAGGCCATTGAGATCAATACGATTTTCATATAAAATTAGTTATAGCGTATACTCTGTATAATCTCATACTATTTGGTATTGTTATAAATTGTTATAATGGGAAAAGCGAGGGCAATTCAAATATAAAATTAAATAAAATACAGGGTATTTCATTTAAAAAACCTATGATATGTTTTAAGTTTTTGGAGAACCCTGTATAATTAAAATTATTTTTAAATTGTTGACTTTTGGACATAAATCTCGTTTTGAATGCAAATTTAAAAAAAAATCAAATAGTTTTGCCTCTACAGACCAATTCGTTACCGGTGGCCCACCCTGTATATAAGTAATTATCTTACAAGGTTCATTTTTTAATTTGTCTGCAAGTAAAATAGTTAGGTGTAGATGAAAGTTAAAAATGGATTCCGCGAAGCTGGTTTTTCAAAATCTCAAATACATATCTCTATAAAGATTTTCTCACTTGTTTTTTAGAGAAAACAAAATCAAAATTTTAAAAAGTACCTAGGAAGAAACGCATATTGTAACCTACCGCACCCAGGTACCTTAATAATTTATTAATTCCATTTATTAAATATAATATTGCATTCTTATTAAATTCAAAATCCTTCATTTAACGAAAAATCTCCCAGATAATTAAATCTTATTTACGACACCTAATAAATAATATCTATAACCACGTCCGTAATATATCCAAATTTCGTGCACGTGTCTCTGAGAACCAGCCAAAGAAAACGTATTTCTTTTCACGAAGTAATTATCATTAAAACACTTAACTCGCTTATCTTGATAGTATTGATGTTAAGACCGATTTCGAGAATATTTCGATACACAAAGCTTTCAAGGCACATAATAAATAAGCCACCCCCTGCACCCACCGTAATTCGATGAGAACTAAAGACATATAGACGTCACAAAAGCCATTAAACTTTATTATAAAAAGCTAGACCCAAATGAGCTCGGTTTCATTCATTTTTATTTATTTGATGTACATGCATTCAATTTTATTATTTGATGTGCAAGCATTCATTTATTATTTGTATCCAGTTATTTTCAAGTTCAGTAGTCAGTACCTTTCCTAAAACGCTCTTCCTAAACGACGTCTATCTTACAGTACCTCCTATCCCCGAAGGTGTCAACGTCTCGAGGCCCAACGTCCTGCCGTCCTACTCCCTACGTCTCGAACGCTGTCACATTCCTCATCTGAGTATTTCCTACCGTGCACTCATTTCGACTCTCAACGTCCCACGCCTTATTTCCGACGCTTGCTGTCCCTAAATATTTCCTTAATAATATCACGTCCCGCACTACCTACATAATTCTACCGTATATCTGTCCCAATACAGTACCGTATTAAATAGGTACCTTCCTTTCCACCACGACGCTAGGCGCCTCGACGATCAATGCTGCTACGTACCTAAATCGACAACATCACAACGCTAGATGAAATTAGTACATAATCTAATGTCTGTATTTTCAATTGTGAGTCAAAAGATTTATGTAACTTTCTTTGAGATACCACCGGAGTTTCGTTTAAGGGCGGCTTGACATTTGCTACACAATATTATCAATTTAACCAATAAATCACATGGCCTTCAGGTCATACACCCCGAAAGATAGTTAGGATAGACATCTGTTTCGATGGGTGAATTTTTGAGTATTTCAATAGAAATTATAATAATCAATATTAAGAAATATACAGGGTTGTATTAAATAATTTAAATAGTAATTATAATAATCAATGTACAAAATATACAAGGTTGTATTAAGTTAACTCAATAGAAATGATAAAAATCAATATTTTAGAAATATACAAGGATGTTCTATCTTGGATAAATACGCCAATCAACCCGTTCTACTAGGTTTGAAACAAAGTATATGTAAAATCAACAAAGTAAGGTAATTAACTGGCGAATTGGCGCTGTTCGTTACTTCCGTTGGTCATCACTTTCATACTCATCGAAATATTTACCTAAGAGGGTGCAACCTGTGTATATCTTAAATAGAATCAAATCAATATCAACATAATAGTTAACCAATTGGCGAATTAGCGCTGTTGGTTAGCTCCGTTGGTCATCAACCTAAATAATAATATAAACAAACACAGTAGTTAGCCAACTGGCGAATTGACGCTGTTAGTTAAGTCCGTTGGTCATCAACCTAAATAAAATATAAATTGATAGCAAATGAATATGCGTTTGAACGGGACTCAAGTGAGATCTCAGTAAATAGTAACAATTGCAATATACTTTGCTAATTATTGCATCACATTTAAAGTATGAAAAATAAAAAGAGTTTAAATATAAATTTGTCCGGTTTTATTTATCAATTTGCACCAAACTTTGCATCGAATCCTGGTTTACCTTAATTAACATTATCACAACGGGAGTATATAAATTATCAATTAATTAAATAGACGATCAGTTTTACTACTAGAGGAAAAAAGGCCAATTACAGTAAGTATAGAATTTAAAGTAAAACTTGTGAGGTAAATAATAACATTTCAGAGAGTAAAATAAAATAACGAACAAAAAAATAAGAGGGGACGGGGGGTGGGCCGTCACAATATATCAACTAAAAAATATTAGACATTGGTAAAAAGTGTTAAGTTTTATATGGACATAGCAGTAGGTATTTATTTTTTAAAATTGAAACCAATAATTACAAAATATGGCAGAAAGTTAAATTTCATTCGGAAATAAAAGTATTTTTTAAGGGCAACAACCATATTTGTTAATTATTTATCTAATTAAATTTAAAAACGCTCGTATTAAAATTGTATTTATTCCTTCCCTGTGCTGCTTCAAGTATTACGGTAATGCAAATGACTAAGGTTCTGAATTAGCATCTGTGAAATTACCTTGAACTTCTTACTGCACAGATTCCTACAAGCTTTGGCTAGGGCAAATGCCATCTTTGATATGCATTGTCCCTAGCCAATTAGGTCGATTAATAATTAGCTTTTATTTCAAACCAAACATTATTTTGAAGTGCGATTGTGTTTCATTTATTCAATATGTTATTTGTACGGGTGGTAACGAAAAGAAAACGTCTAAATGTTTAGTTTTAAAGTAAATACGTCGACAAGTCGAGGGATTCTATGTGGTTTTGACACTAAGGATCAAAGTAATTTTTCGAGTATTTTTAAAAAACTCTGCTTCTTTAGATTTCTTTACAATCCGTAGGCATAATTCATGAACTGATTTCTATATTAAAATTAATGCTACAAAGTATACTTTTCCCGAAAGCTTCATAGAAAATAACCTCTACCTTCACTTTTTATATTTCTATGAGTTATACAGTGTAAGGGCGAGTCCAGAGATTATCTTTGGGCGAGTCTATATTAGATAATATTATGTCTATGATCCATACTCATATTAAAAAAATATATCTGACTTAACCTAATGCTTCATGAAAGCTGTCGTATTGACATTCGTTTTATATTGTCTTTCAAACGTAAATTTATATAATAAAAACACTTATTATTAATAATTATAATTCAACTACCTACCATAATGTCGGACGAAAGCATCATCTTCAAAGAAGATAAAGAAGACTTGCTCTACATAGCAAGAAAAATTAATATGGACGAATTCACCTTGTCAGGTGAACAAGGTTGGGTGAGAGAATCACTAGAATCTGAGACTTCTATACAGACCAATGGAGAAGGAATAACTCAATCACAAACTGAATTCCTAAATGAAAAGATGGAAACTGAAATGGGGCCTGAAATTTTCAAAGATCCTTCCGTTTTGCTGAAGACGAGACCTTTTGTAAATATATATTTTATTAAAAAAATATAGGGAAACGGTTTAACATTAATTTATGAAAATTTATATAGGATACTAGTATACAATAAATGCGCAGTACCCGCATTTATTTATTTTAATTTTTTATGGGCTTTCAGAGGGACTCAATACCTCTTTTTTTTTAAAGTAATATTTAGCTAAAAACGGAATCACACATTTATTCTAAAACTATTTTATCTTAGTATTTATTTGTAAAAATCTGAATTTGGAAGATACAGTCATCTTTGTAAAAGTCAATTTTAAAATATTGAATTTAAACTATGGCGGACTGTCCAATCAGTGGTGGCGCGTTGTTTAATAATTCTTTTACTGAGTACCATGGCCATCGTTCATGTACGATGCCACGGCCTCGCCAAACAATTGTTTTTATAGGTAAAATGTATCACGATTTATATATTTCACAAACATGTTTTTTTATTTTATATTTTAGAGTATTCATTACTTTTTATTCTTTCAGCTGACGAGTAACGAGTACGAGTATCGACGCGCGCATATATATTATAATGATTCCACCTTGGAAAGATTAAACCATTCCAATATTCTAGAGCTTTTAGGGTTATGGCTCCTTCGGCTTCCTACAAAAATTTCAAAAAAATAACTAAAATTAATACCTATCGATAAATATTGAATTTGAAAAACAAATCTAAATCTTCCTTTTTCGTTTCGCTTCTTTCTTCTTGCTTTCTGCTTTCTGCTCAAACTTTTCCTTCCTGCTAAATTATGCTTCCTATTCCATTCGCACTTATCTTTAATTTAAATAAAACTTGTTTAACCTTTCTTTTTATTCTTTCTTTTTCTTTTTTCATCTGTACGATATAAAATCTTCAACTTCAAAGTATTTATTTTCTGATCTTTTATTTGTAATTTCCCAACTGACAATAATTCTAAAACCCTCTCTGCCAATCTTACCAAAATATCTTTTCATACATGCGAAATTAAGTTCAAATAGCCACATATTCCTTAGTTATTGTATCTTTTATGTTATTAGTTGAAATTTAATATTATTATTAATATTATCTGTATCTGTAACGTGTGGAGGGTGGGTTACGTCCACGGCACTTAAGCCTCATTAGGCCCATTGTGCATCCTCCTAAGATGATAGGCACCTCCTAGCTCGTGAGCCAGCCTTCAGATTTAATGTGGTTGACAACGTCGCCAAGAGGTGCTTCTCTTATATCGGCCGGTGTTAGCCGATACTCGCCGAATACAAATCTTCTAATAAATGAGAGCGTCGAGCAATTGTAAATGATATGCATGATGGTCTCATCTTCTTGTTCGTATTCTCTGCAGATTGTGGATATGGAGATGCTTCCGTACTTGGCAATGACCAGTCAGAATGCCTGTGACTAGGCGCAGATTCTGTCTAGTCATAGTCAAGTAATTGTTTGCTGCAGTGTTGTCAGTATAACTTAGGAGCTCCCTGGCAACTCTGCAGTTTCTTGTTTCATCCCATCTTTCCTTGAATTTCACAAGGGAATGTTCTTTAATTAGGTCTGTCACTACCGATTTTGTCCGGCCAATAGAAGGAACAGGTCCAAAAAGTATTTGGTTGGCTGCTTTCTTGGCTAGTGAATCAGCAAGACGGTTACCTTTTGATGTGGCGTAACCTTTGATCAATCTTAAGGTGATCACATTGTTGATGGATACTTCGGCCAAAGCTTCGTTATATCCTAGTACTAACCCTGAGTAAATTCGTGTTCTGTTCAGGGTGAGTAGTGCTTGTCTGCTATCTGTATAGATGAGCATGTTCCTTCCAGTGATATTGTTTCTGGTTATTTCTTTTGCTACTATGAGAATCCCCGTTAGCTCGGTTTGAACTACACTGGCACTATTGCTCACAGCCCATTTTATATTTAGGTTTAAGAATCTAGAGTATATTCCACATCCTGAGCCTTGTTTTGTTTTAGAACCGTCGATGTAGATATGAATCGTACCTGCCACTTCTGGCTCTCCTATTTGTTCTGTTATAACTTTATATGGCTTGTGAAAGATATATCCAGGTGAGATGGAGTCCATGTTCGCTTGAAGCAGTGAGAGCGTATCGAGTGCCTCCTACCAAAAGCGACGTATCGCCTCACCAGCACGCAGATTCCCATTTACAATTCGATATCGAAATACTCGATTTCGTCAGTTTGGTGAATTCCGATTTGCAGGAAATCATATTCGCATCGACTAAAACGATTGCGAGTCACTCGCCAGCTCTATGGTGCCGAATTGCTCGATTTCGGTAGATTATTGAGGTTATCGCATAGCACGTGGTTGTAGCCTTATAGCGGTTATAGAGAAAGAAATAGGTAAATCGAAGTTTGGCTTAAACTTATGTTGTACGAAAGTCCAATATCTCGTTGGTATGACCCAGTTGCATAAAAACGTAATTCAGCAAAAATCTTTATGAAATTTGGCAGAGAATTGTTGTAGACTCTTTCAACAAGGTGGGGCTGTATAGTATCAAATATATACCTGGCGGCTTTTCTGTTAAATCTGTAAAATTCAATAAAGCGCTCTTCCGGAAGCTCAAATGAAATGCTGTGGTCCTTGAGTAGACGCCTTGGTAAAACGAGGGCTCTATTTTACCCCCTGTGTCTTATTCGTTGTATTCGGTTATTAAAAATTAGTAGCATACTTGCGTGGCTATTTATTATAATTCACTTTCAAACAAAAACACCAATAAAAATAAATACCAAATACCGTTGATTTGTTTACATATATCAACTGTCAATTAAAACACGTATTGCACATGCTCGCTATGAATACTACGGGTTTCGGAATCTACCAAAACGCAGGGAAACTCGATAGTGAATAGGAATAGCAAATTTCTCGATATAGTATTTGGTTGCGAGTATCGAAAGCGATTCGATTTCGCATTTCGCACTGATTTGGAATCTATATGCAGCAGTGAGATTCCAAATCAGTGCGAAATGCGAAATCGAATGGCTTTCGATACTCGCAACCAAATACGATATCGACAAATTTGCTATTCCTATTCGCTATCGAATTGCCCTGCGTTTTGGTCGTTTCCGAAACCCGTAGTATTCGTATTAAGCATGCGCAATACGTGTTTTAATTGTCAACAATGCCATCCAAACTGACATTGTCTTTCTAAAGGAATGGTTATGCACACAATTTAATTTGACGCAAGAGCAGCCAATAAGGTGATCACAGCCAATAGCAGGGCTTAATTCTTAAATTACGTTAAATTAAATTCGTGCATAAACCCATCATAATGACCTATAATAGTTTTGTGCTAGTTTGTTTCAATTTAATAGTTAATTATAGGTACTTACATTATTATTTTTTAAGGCAGACCTTTTACTTATATTCTCAAAATTCTCAAGAACTTCTTATATCAATGACACAGAATAATCAACAGTGACAATGCTTTAAAATGTTCAAATTTCAACTAGAAATCACAACCGCTACAAGGCTACAACCTCTACTACCACGTGCTATAACCTCAATAATCTACCGAAATCGAGCAATTCGGCACCATAGAGCTGGCGAGTGACTCGCAATCGTTTTAGTCGATGCGAATATGATTTCCCGCAAATCGGAATTCACCAAACTGTCGAAATCGAGTATTTCGATATCGAATTGTCAATGGGAATCTGCCTGCAAATCCTACATCAGGTTCTATTCCAAAAGTGCGGAGGCGTGTCATTGCCGTCAGAGCAACCTCCTTGACGAATATCAAGGGAAGTGAGACTAAGAATGACTTTCATGGCTCTGGTCAGTGTAGTTTTCATGGCTCCTGTTATGTTGAGACATGCTGTTCTTTAAATGTGTTCTAGTTTACGGATAGCTGTTAGTTTTTGGCTTTTAGAAACCCAGGCAACTGCATCGTATGTTGGCATAGGTCTTATGATAATCGTGTAAGTCCATACGACGACTCTGGGTTCGGCGGCATTGTTCATAAGCAATTTATGCTCGTTTAACTCTGTTTTCTAAATGCGAGTTCCATGTTAACTTGCTGTCAGAGGTGAGACCTAGGTACTTCACCCCTGTTGCAAAGTTTAGTTTTGTGTTTAGAAGTTCTGGAGGTTTTAATTCCATTTTCGTCCTTTTCCTTTTGAAAAGGAGCATTTCTGTCTTCTTAGGAATGAAAGACAGTGAATGGTTCTTGCACCACTGTTCTATAATTTTTAGAGCTACTTGCATTCTTTCGCAGAGTATGTTCTCAAAATTCCCTGTTTGCAGAATGACCAGGTAATTTGCATATGTTATTGTGTAGTGACTGTCAATATTGAGGCAGCTGATGAGGGTGTCGAGGACCATATTCCACAGTAGAGGTGATAGGACCCCTCCCTGTGGATATCCCCTTGCAACCTAGCCTCTTATATTCACATCTTCTACACTTTACTGCTCGCTTTGAGAGCATATTATGTATCCACCCACTGACCATTTGTGGAACATTCCTGTTGGTTAGTGAATGTATTATCTTTGGGAAGGTGGTTTTATCAAAAGCACCTTGTATGTCTATGAAAACACCCAAGGAGGGATCTTTCTATCCGGCCAGCAACTAGATGAAGGAATCATTAGATCTGCCTGGGGTGTATTCATGTTGGGTGTAGTGGTGTTGTTGTAATGTCTTCATGGAAAACGATGTCGGACTAATTGGTCGATATGTTTTTGGGACAGTGTAATCCATCCTTCCAGGTTTGGGTATAAATACCCCTTTTACCTCTCTCCATTTTTGGGATATATACCTCAGAGCCAACGAGGATCTGAATATACCCACCAGGTGCGGTGCGAGTTCTTCCAGATGGGGACGTATTAATGATTTCAGTTTCTCTCTTTCTTACCGAAACTAGACTACGAATTCTTCTTTTTAACTCTACTAGTTCCGTTCTAGTTTGCCTTTCCAACTCTACTCTAGCTGTTTCTTATTGTTTTAAATTTGTTCTTAAATTATCTTGATATTGTGCTGTTCTATTCTACTGTTAAGCTGACGTACCCCTTGCCTGAAGTTTTCTTGAATTTTATAGCAAGCCATTCGTAATTTCTACATCGGCTTTCTTACGCTTTTCTTCCTCATTTTCTTCTAGCCTTTTCTTTTCCCCTTCTTCTTCCTTCCTGCGCCTTTCCTTATCTTCTTCTTGTGTTCGATTTTCCTCATCTTCTTCCTTCCTGCGACTTTTTTCTCGTCTTCCTTCATCAAAAACCATGCTGGAGGACCTGAAGTGTCCATGCCTGTGTCGTACTCAGTGGATCTAGTATTTACTATGAACTTTTATTTTGGATCACACCGTTGTCACCAATGTTACACTGGTTTTTATTTTAACTTAACTTTTACAATTCAACTATCCAACTAATAGCATGAACGTATAACGTCTATCATAAAAGTTGATCATCGACTCATATAGTTCGCTTTAACCTTCTAGAACCTTCTCGAACCGTTTAGATGTTTCTAGACATTTCTAGATTATTCTGTCTTCTTCTTTTACTCGTACTTTTACTTATGACGACCGCAGCATACTGTAGGGTGATGGGTGACATTGCACTTCTTTTTTAGTTGTACGTTTCCTATAACAGGCGCAGGCTACTGCAGGGTGCAGGTTACTTAGAAGACTGGCCTTTTATAGGTCGTACTTGTCGAGTTATTTCTCACACATATTCCACATACTATATTAGGGATTTCATGTACTATATACCTGCTATTTTGTTAAATTAAACATTCTATTTTTTTTTAGTATATTTAACTTTTGTTTATTTCTTTTATGGGCATATTGTAGCATTGTAAAAAAGGTAGAAATTAATATTTTACGGGTAATGCAATATTCTACTTAATATTTTGCGCATTATTCTTTTTGGGTTTATGCATATGACATATACGATTTAATTTCTTATTTTCTCTAGATATTTAGTTTATTTAGTTATGAATTCATCATAAGCTGTAAAATAAATCTTTTCAGTTAAGTTCTTAAAGAATAGTTAATTGTTACACATTGTTTTTTGTTATGTGAGTTCTTGAACATTAATTTTGAATTTGTTTGATGACAAACATATTGGGTATATTTATAGATTAGTTTCTTTCATAATAATTTAAAAATTGTTAATCGTTGCATTTATTGGGTAAATGCATTATAAGTGAATATACGTTTGAGGTTTGTCTTTTATTTCTTTCCTCATTTTCTGGGTTTGTGGGGCTACCGTCTGAGCGACGTCAAAGCCCCGAAGGTTGACATCGGAACATAATTTTTATTGGTAAATTTTTTCTTCTCTTTAGTTCAGTTTTAGGCAGTTTCCTTCATTGGAAGTTGTAGAGTTCATTTGGTAGGTTACATATTCAACACCCCCAACTTTTTTCTTTTCTTACTACGGTGAACGTAATTCTTGGAACAGTTTCTTCCTTTAATGGTACTCATCAGCAAGAACTAGACATTTTTACTTCCAATATCTAATGGACACTTTTTCTTTGAAATAATTCAATACCTGTTACGGTATTAGCTAAAGGGAAATGTTTACTTGTATTATTTTGTGACTTGTTTTTCTTTATTTTACGTCTTGGTCACATTTGAGTTTGGATTTTTTTTTAATTTTCTGTCTGTATCGAGTTTTCGATGGATTTTTACATTTTGGGTTTCCTGAATCCATCTGGACTACTTTCGCGATTATGTCTACGTTTGTCTGTATACTCGATAACTTATGAACGTATAAAGAGAAAAACACTAAATTTTAAACTTAAGCTTCAATTCATCGTCTAATCAGTTGATTAGATTTTTGGGCATAGTCGGGGGGGGGGGGGGGGGGATACATTATAGGGAGTATTTTTTCTACTTTATGGAATATATCAGTTGGACTGTTGGACAAGAAAATTCGTCAACTAAAAGTTGCGTATGATGTCATTCTTTATAAGTTTTGTCCCACAAGTACATGATTTTTCTAAAATGGTTGATATTCGAAAAATTGGACAAAAAGGACAAAATTTAAATTAAAAAAATATATCCTATATTATTCAAATAAATGTTGCTTGTGATGTCATTCTCTGTAATTTTTGTTCTATGCACGAATTCGCTAAAATGGACCATATTCGAGATATTTAAGGAAAAGTGCAAGATTCGAATTTTGAAGATAACTAGAAACGGATAAAGTGACAAACAACAAATTTTTCATCCTGCAGTGAGCTGATTAAATGAGTACAATCGAAGCATCTGGAGGAAGTACTTTATAGAGCATCGTTTTTTTAATTTAAGAAATATATCTTATATACGATTTCTTTAAATACTAAATATTTACAACAAGATGATATTTTCTATTATGATAAGATTGACAAGTTTTCTCTAAAAAGATTTATCATATCTGAACATACTTAAAGAAATCTTTTGTTGTTTATATGGATGGTATAGGTATTAACATTTATCATTATTTTTTAAGAACATGGTTTGGTCGTATGGTTGCAATCCAAAAGTTGATATAATTAATTTAACTGATGCAGAAACTAATGAAATAATTTTTGCCAGTAGTCATTTTCCTATAATCTACAACTATTGTGAGAAAAAAATGTCTTATCTGGAAGGTCACGTAAGTAATGCATTAAAAAATTTGTTTATTTTATTGTCCGTTTCAACTTGCATATTGAATTGTCAGTCGTTGTTTCACTCTTTTAATATTTAAAATTGTAAATTATAGTCCAATCCATCGATTAGTAGGTATGAGACACACTTTATTTCCCACATACAAACGCATTCTACTTCTAACCTACATATAGTTTTTCATAAAACGCAATAAAGATTTTCTAACCTTAGTATCATTATGGCAGGCGTACTTTAGGCACAGCTTAATTAATACTACGTATCTTGGCTTTAAATTGAAAATTTGCGCATCGCCTGGCGTGCATTAGACTTGGCAGTCTGAGATTTAGTCGAGACTATTTGTTGTTATTTTATCTATTGTTGGGACCACATTCCCAACTTTAGCCTAGAGAAAAAAGAAAGGTAGTAATTTAATTTGCAGAACGTATTGCAGGTTCAAGAAGTAGATATTTTATTTATACCTCATCCTTTAATGCTTATTTATAGTTAAAATGTTTGAGTCAAAGAAAACAAAAGACCACCATGAAGAAATGGATGGCCCTATAATTTAAAATTGGTTTCAGAATAATATAAAAAAAATTCAGCCAACTCCGTTATTGTTTTGTATAATTCATCTTATCACAGTCGATTAAAGGAGTCACTACCTACAAAAAAATGGAAAACAGAATATATTTCAAAATAGGTTCATTCTAAGAATATTATCAGTCCTAAATCCTAAAATTACTTGTAATAGCAAGGCAACATAAAAACATATTTAAAAAATATATAATAGACCAGATGATGGCCCGAGAAAAAGAACTTGAAACTCTCAGATTGCCTCCTTACCAAGCAGAGTTAAATCCCATTAAGCTTATTTGGTCACAATTAAAAGGTTATGTTTATCAAAACAATGCAAAATTTAAATTTCCAAATATGCGAAATTTGTTTTTGGATGTAGTTTCAGATGTAAATGGAGAACATTGGAGAAAATGTATTGATCATGTTAAAAATGTGGAAAATTTATTTTGGAAAGTGGATATAGCAATGGAAAACTTAATAGACTCTATAATAATAAATCTCAGAAAAGATAATGATATCAGTGGTGTATTCATCACTCACTTCTGGAACTTTTTATATTTTTTTAATCTTTGATTTAAGGTACTGAAGTGTCACTTTTAATGCCAAGAGATTAAAAAAAGTTTAATCCCATTAAGAACATATAATCCTACTTGTTATTTATTGGTTAAATTTAATTCTTTAATTCGTTAAAGTGCAACAATTTTTTCAAAAGCATAAGGTTTATTTTTTATTTTTTGTAAATAATATGACTTTTTTCATTCAAAATGTAATCTACGAAGTGCGTATACAGTATGGTTCAAATGAAAGGAATAAATTCATTATAATGGAAGTAGTTGGTTTTTCGAAAAAATGCTCGGACAGGTCAATTTTGTTTACTTAAAGCGCAATTTTTTAAATAAAATTCAATTTTCCTCCACTTCCCATTTTTGGGCAGTGACGTCATTGACAATTTTTTTAAATAGCAACCCCAATTTTTTTTTCTTGATTTTGATAGATCTTGCTACTCGGAAACGTAATATTTGAAATATCTGACATAACAATTTTTTTTGAAAAAAAGTCATTTCAAGATCAGATACATAAATTTTATGTTATTTTGAAACACAATAAATTAATAAAAGATAATTATTTGTAATTAAGTGCTTAATTTAAAAAAAGAATAATAATAATAATAATAATAATAATAATAAAAAGAATTTAATGACAATTTCACAAATTCTTTTTATTATTATTATTTTTATTATTATTTTGTTAGATTAAGCATTTAATTACAAATAATTATCTTTTATTAATTTATTGTGTTTCAAAATAACATAAAATTTATGTATCTGATCTTGAAATGACTTTTTTTCAAAAAAAATTGTTATGTCAGATATTTCAAATATTATGTTTCCGAGTAGGAAATTGCAAGATCTATCAAAATCAAGAAAAAAAAATTGAGGTTGCTATTTAAAAAAATTGTCAATGACGTCACTGCCCAAAAATGGGAAGTGGGGGAAAATTGAATTTTATTTAAAAAATTGCGCTTTAAGTAAACAAAATTGACCTGTCCGAGCATTTTTTCGAAAAACCAACTACTTCCATTATAATGAATTTTACCATTTTATATGCCTTATTAATATTATAGAAACTTATTTTACAGAGTACGCATATGGAATGTAACGTTATATCCCCACTTTTTCTTCTTTTTTCAAACTATAGCTAATGTATTAGATATTAGATATTACTCACATACTTTGATTTTCTTTTACTATACGAAGAATGGTCGCACTGCGCAGCTTTCTGAGTGCCTTTTAAAAGGAGATAGAAAACTCCGCCATTTTGAACCCTTATTACGTGTTGCCTACATCTTGGCGCAATATTTTTAATAGGTGCGTTTTAATCATCCGCTTCTGCTTCGGAATTGTCGGTTTTCTTGTTTTAATATGACAGGTTAAAACGACTAAACCGACAATTCCGGAAGTCGAAGCAGATTATTAAAACGCACCTGATATTTTGCTTGCTGCTGTCAGTGTCAGTGAATATTATTTTTGAAGTCATAGTTTATTGCTAAAGAATCAGTTAGCTCACTCGGACCAGTTGAAAGTTCCAAAATAACATCCACTCCAGGGATACAAATTCAGGATACGCAAAAGACTGCTGTTTTATTATAGGCGGTTGTCATATATTGTATTATCCGAGTTGCACAGTGTATAAACTGAAACATTGAGATCAAAAGTGCCGACGCAGAGTGAGCGATCTGATTCTTTAGCTGTAAACTATGTCACAGGGTTCAAAATGGCCGCGCTCTATGTTGGGCGTGTCGGACCTCTCTCTTACCTCGTATAGTAATCAAAGTATGTGGATATTACTACTCAAATAATATAAAAAAATTACACAAAATTTTATATTTGCAGCATTATACAGTGGTAGCTATTTCAATTGATAGAACAGGAAAATATTTTGTCACAGCAGACAATGGTGAAGATGGATTTATAAATATTTGGGATGGGTCATTGCGAAATACAGATACAGGAAAAATGTAAGTTTCGAATTCAATAAAAATAGATTAAACTAGTCTCTCTTTATCTCTTTAATCTTATTATAAATATTATCCAGTCGGTTGGATCAAGAAAGTTTTAGGGAAATTCTATCAACATTTCATTGCTGCTTACATATTAGTATTTGTATCTTTTTTAGTTTTTAAAATAATAAAAAAAATGATTCTAATGTAGGCCATGAAAAAAATTACATATTATGTAAGATCGTAAATTCTCCTTTTTTTAAAAACAGTTTGGATTTAATCCAGAGACATCACGAAAGTAAATCTTATATCTGTCTTTGTCAGTCATAGCCTACTTTAGAAACATTATACATGGATCAATAATTTGTTATTTTATACATTATGGAAAGAATATTTTAGTCGCTTCTTGATTTAATTATTAATTATAGTTGCAAGAACGATCTTTCAGACAGATTACATTCTCAATCTTCAATAAAAGTTGACATTTTTTTGACAAACTTTTTCATGACCCTTTATGAGAAGCTACTCGCGTTTAATAATACACTTTTTGTATGAGGTATTTTCTTCTGTATTATAATCGTTATAATAATTTTTTTATAAAATATACATTTTTGTAAACGTTTTTATAATTTTTGCCATTTACGAAATAAAAAATTATAAAGATATAAAGAATGTATAGTTAGAAAAGTTTAAAGTCATTTATTTTAGTGCTCCTGTTTTATCATTATACGGGATTTACCAAAAATTTGGAGTTAGTACTGCACATATAAGCCCCTGTGCTCGATACTTAGTTACAATTGGTGGAGTAAAAGAAGACCTATATTCTATAGATATGTGGCTCTGGACTTTAGGGAACAACACGCCTGAAGGTAAAAACAATGCCCTGCTATAACTTATTTATTTTGAATCTACCCCTTAAATTATTTTTATTTTATTCATAAAATGTTTTCAATATGAAAAACATGTAGACGGTGACTGGTGACAACTATTGAACCACTACACCACCTAAGTCTCACCATGCTATCAAAATAGTTCATATTTTTTAAAAATTCAGACGTTCTTACTAATAAAACTGGTAGAAATCTGTTGGTAATTTCTATGGATTTTTATTTGTTTTTGTCTTTAAAATACTTGAGTGATGCTCCTTCAGTTGTAACTGGCTGTAGTAAAAACTTTATTCAATTTCATCATAAATTTTAATCATGAAGCAAAATAGTCATATATTGCTTAGTTTGTGACGTTCCACTACAATATTTTAAATGGCCGATGAAAACTTTTTTATTTTGTGGGTTTTTAATTTTGAAAATATTAACTAATTTTCATTTGGAAAAAGAAATACCTGAATGAGTTTTAGAACAGTTTTTGAAAGATGGAATTCAAGTGCCCTAATTGTTTTAAGATAAACCCTTGAATTTTTAGGCTTCATTTGCATTGGAAAAAAAATCTCATGGAAAAACTTCAAATTATTGAAAATCTTTTACGCTTATTTTAATAAGTTTTTTTTAAGAAAAAGTATCACGTATTAATGTCGATTTTTTAATTTTAAAAGATTTTCTTGTTTATTTCTGAAATTATATGTTTGTCTTATTTTTTAGATTCTTTTATTGTATCTAGCACTCATGGATATCCAATTGCTATACGATTTAATCCTAATATTGAGGAACACATAATGGTTATTTTCTCTAAGCAAGTATTTTTGCTGTTTTGGGTAAGATTAATAAAATTGCCTGATATTATAAAATAAGTTGCCTCTGACAGTGCTTCCATTTATCAACACGGACATGAATATATTTTTTTTATGTACCTAATCATTGATGTCAGGTTACAAAATAAATTCTCTCTATAAACGATAGTCTAAATACATATTAGCACCGATCATTTAAAATAGAAAATAAAATCAAATAAAACTCAAAGCCATGTCACAATAATACGAGTGGCCATTTCTCTCTTGAAAACAACTACTGCTCTGGCTAATACCTCACCAGGTATTGAATTACATTAAAGGAAAAATGCAGGGATAGAATATTATTTTCAACACTCCTTTGATTGCTCTTAGTAAGAAGAAAATCATTCTTGGAACGGTACCACTCACAAAGGACAAAGTTTATTACATAATATAAATATACGCTTAAATTATTATAAATCACTATAAACGACTTACAAACCACTGCAATGTGTATCTGTCATGCTATTTACGTCGAGCCAGTTCTACTAACTCTACGCTTGACGTCAGAGCCGCCATGACACCATGCGCGATATCTTCCCTGGGTTTCTTCCTTATTAGGACTCGTCAGCAAGAATTAGACAATATCGACTCCAGTCTCTAATGGAGTCTGCCGGAAATACAAAATTCGCTCTTACACATTAACAGCGGTTGAGAGTGTGTAGATATTCAACGAGCGAAAATGGTAACGCCATCTGCGCTTAGTAAACTAAATCAAAGTTCGCTCTAGCATCTAGTTCAGAGCACTAGAAGAAATAAAGGTCAGGCGGGCAATTATTAAAAAAAGAATTTATTCCAAACTCAACATGAAATAAAACTCAAAGCTTACCAAGCAAAATCAAAGGTAGAGTGTTAAACTATTTTCTATATCTGTCTTTTTCTGTTGATGTAATGCAATACCTGGTGCGATATTAGCCAAAGGTATAAAATAAAATAATTAAAACGCAAAGCCATTTGTAACAAAATAGGAGCACCCAAAGGAGTAATTGTTTTCAAGACTTTCGCTTTGAGTTTTATTTAATTTCATTTAGCTTGATTCGCCAACGTTCTGTGTTATATAAAAGCTATTGTTCCATGTTCTAACCCAGAAATAACTTAATATATACATGACAGGTCCACTTCCTCGTGGTGTGGAATTTCTAGTGCCCAGATAAATGCTTTGACGTACCGTAAAGTCGGGCGACTTTGACTCACTGTCAAATTTTAAACCTAGTTAAATTTTAAGAATTATTAAGCAAAAATATCTCAAATGATCTAATTTTTCAAATAAAAAATAAAAAGGGGTGTAAAAGCCACCCATCATTTTACATTGTTTTCTCTATAATATTACTTGCTGGTTTAAAGCCACCCATCACAGTTGATAGTAAAACACATTAAAAAAATATTTTTTATTGCTTACGGTAAAGATATTAACAAAAAATATTACAATGTTTGTTGCATACAAATTTTATCACCTTTCAATTTCGATTATTTTGCAATGAGTTAAATTTTTTATACTACAAAAAGCGTAAGCGTCCAATTGTCTTTAAACAAAGTGTTTTGGGTAGTTTTCATACCTTATAATTCAACCAGCGCGAGTCTTATTTTAAAAATAGCACGTATAATTTTTTGTGAACAAAAATAACTATTTACTCATTTGAGGTAAAGTCACCCATGCTGGTCAGAGTTACCCGACTTTACGGTATCTGATTTATTGACTTTTTAGGATAGTGAATTAATGAAATTTACCCTCAAAATAACTCCCCAAATAATGCACAGAAGCAAAATAGGTCATTTAACAACCGGTACATACGTAGATCAATGTCACGAATGTTACGCATCGAGTAGTAAAGGGTGTATCCTAACTTTCAGTAATGCCCTTTATGCTAAACCATTTGAAGAAGGTGATCTCGACAATAATAAAATTTTTCGAAATGCTGTTAAAATATCAGATGTTGCTGTCGATTGCTGTAATACAATAGATGGGTAAGTAATTATTTAATTACAGAATAATTTTGGGCAGAATGAGTATTATTATTTTGGTATTTACTAACGATATCTAGATATGTTATAGAATTTCATAAAAACCTAAGGTTCATGACCCTAATTAGACCCGGTGCTAAATATGGCCCAATCCACTCTTTAGAAAATTAACAAGTTTATAAATTTTCTCTAGCTACATAAAGTAAAAGTAACTTGCTTGAAACATAGCCTACCATCAACAGATTCGGTACGTTAATGATTTGCATCGCTTTGAAAGCAGTCAGAAATTAAGTTTAACCTGTAAGCCGACTAATTTTCGTTACTATCTAATGTTACAATAATATTGGCTGCTATTGTATTATAAAAAAAAGAACGTATTCATTATATAATAGTCTAAAGTAAGGCTCGTAACCGTGACCGGTTAACCGGTTAATCGGTTCCGTAGGACCAAAAAACCGTTAAAGAATGTAACCGGAACCGGTTTAACCGCAACCAGTGTAACTCTATTCGAACCGGTTTAACCTGTCACTTGTTGAGCCGTAACTGGTTTAACCGTATCCGAAACGAGTTTTAGCGAGACCGTGAACGTAAACGAACAAGTATAGTTTGAGCTCTTAGTAGGGATGCGCATATTTCTTAATACATCGATACAGAGATCGAATGATATACCAAAAACAAAGTATCGATGGCATTAAAATGACCGAAGTGAAAAAGATTATATTTTTAAACATCAATGTTTTTAAAACTTATACATTTAAAAGTAAGTAAAACAAAATGAGACTGTATTTATTTTATAAAAAAAATACAAACAAATATAAACATTCCAAATGTAATAATAAAACAAAGCAAAACTAATTTTTTTTTTATTTTATAATAAATTTACATCACAGTTATCCAACATATGCAAAATATGCCACGATTAAGCCGGTGATGGTTACAGTTAAACCAATAACGGGTTTAACTAGTCACGGTTACGGTTAAACCGCCGAATCCGGTCTAACCAGTCGGATTCGAGCGGCTCGGTTTGATCGGTCCCTTAACTGGATTATCTGACCGATTGACCGGATAATCGGACCGGTTAACTAGATATCTGGCCCGGTCAACCAGATATACGGACCAGGTAACCGGATAATCGGACCAGTTAACCGGATATCCGAATCGGTTATAATAATAGTAAAAATCCGGTTAAAACCGAAACCGGTCAAAATCAGTCGAACCGGTTAACCGTTTATGACGTCAGGAATGGACAGCCTTAGCCTAAAGTATGTATACAGGTTGATATGGTATAAGCGAAGGCCAACATTAAAGTTCCAAACGAGTCTCGCATGGGCATTATTTAGAATACAATATTTTTGATCTATATTTATAGTTATTTCATTTAAAATAAGTTGAAATACCAAGAAAGATGGATTAATGGTTCGAGCATCAATTAAAGCAGCAAGCAACGAAAGCTGATAGAGATGATGTAGCTGTTAAGACGGAGATTATACTTTAGGACAAGCAAATCAAATTAAGGTTTTTGATGAAGGAATTCAGACGAAAGCCGTAATGATCTATGCACTTCCATTATTCATGACGGTTAATGCGAGTATGACCACTCACATACATATATACATTCTGAAAAAGTTTTTATCTTTGATGAAGCTTTATTACATCTCGAATACATCATCGTAAAGGCTGCTGAAAAAAGTATGTTTTTATAATAACATCCATGAGCTTCAGCTCATAGTCTAAAACAGTTTTTAGACTATTCAAGTCTTACTGGGATAATGAGATGTTGCTTTTTTGGATAAATACACTAAACCATACAATAAAAAAATTACCATTTTGCTGATATTTGCTGAGGTATGGTCTAAAGCGGCCAATCCAAGTAATATATGATCCAAATATTCCAGATGCATTTGTACTAACACCTAGACAATCCGTTAATCTGGAAAATATTAATAAAGGAACTAGAGAAAATTTTGCAACAAAGAGTGTTGTAAATACATCTAAAGTTTCTTGCCGCAAGAAATACATACCAACATTGAGGTCATACCATATGCTTAACATGCTGGGGTGAGCAATACAAGAAAACGCGTCAAATATCCGACTTTTCTTCTGACGATAGTCACTTTACATTGCTACGTCAAGTAGTATAATTACCATTTACATTTCCTATTCTTTTATTATAAGACAAGAATTAATTAGTTGAACGAGTTCAATTCATTTATTTTTGTAAAGTAGGAATCTAGAAGGGCAAATAGCTTTTATATAAATTTTCATATTTTTGGTAAATGTATTGGATGGATTTAAATTAATGAGTCTAAATCAGTATTTCCCAAAGTGGTCCGGGTGGACCCTCAGGGGTCCACGGCAGACTCGACAGGGTCTACGTTGGGCGTAATAAAAAATGGGGGTCCACAATCGTAAGCGGGGGTGCATGAAAATTAATTTGGTTTAGATAGTAAAGCAATATACTATTATACAATTGATTACTTATTTTTCCATGTGATGAAGAAATTCTTGTAAAAAACTTCAACTGTTTATAATATAAACAGTCAACATTTTAGTTACTAAAATGTTGACTTGACTTCTCTTCTCAATATAGGCAGATAATATTTTAAGAAGCTCAGCGACTGCTACTTGTAAAAACTTGCATATTCCATATTCTGTACAACGCGTCGAGACTTGTCGTTGTCGCGCCGGTCGCAGTCCCGTCCGCAACGCTTCTTCACACGTGCAAATTAATACGACTTGTGGTGTATGTGCTTGCAATCTTGCATGAACGTGTTTGATTCTTCACCAATATAAATACGAATGTCAAGGATAATCGTTACTCATTTGTTTCTGGAATTTCATAAAGAAAAGTGAATCGATATTAGTGATGGCCAGTGACTGAATTTGTTTCCAGACTTTCGAAAAGAAAAGTAAAGTGAATCGATATTAGTGATTGCCAGTGTCGGAAAAGTAAGTACCTACCTGCCTATTTGTTATATGCATATAGTTTTAAGCCGAGAAAGATTGAACTTATCGTCCCTACTTTATTTTTATTACCTATCTAATTTATTTATTTATTGCGGAGTTTTGATATCAAAATACTGTTTAAAAGTTTCTATAGAATTTACAGAAATATATTAAAAAATAATAAATGAAATAATAATTTTATATCACATTAAAATAAGTTCAGCCATTTTCATAAAACTTTATTATGGATCTTAGCGACTTATTGCTTTTAATAATTAGAAACAGTTGGTAGCCGGAACTTTTATTTCATAATATTTATAATAATTGATTAATCATATTATTTTAAAATAGCCATATCCTGTTAAGTTCGAATCGCCTTAAGATTACTAAAACAAAGTTTTGTATTTATTTACTTACATATTTACAGGTAGGTAATTGATACAAAACATGGTCGAATCTAAGAAGTGTCGCCAGTACAGTGTTGAATATATAAAATTTGATTTTCTTCCATCAAAGGCAGACAAACGATTACCCACATGCCTTTTATGCAACAAAGTTTTGAGCAATGACTCTATGAAACCATCAAAGCTGAAAGATCATCTAAGAAGGTATAATCCTGATAAAATAGGTAAATATTCGAAATATTTCCAAACATTAAAGGAAAAATATGAAAAGAGACCCACCGTACACAGTATGTTCTCTTCAACGTCTGAAAGCAACGATGATGGCTTGCGGGCATCTTACAATATCTCATTACTTATCGTAAAATCTGGAAAACTGCACACCATTGGAGAACAGTTAATTTTACCTGCTGATGAAGAGGTTTTAAAAACTATTCTGCACAAATCTTCATTTGACATACTCAAAAGAATTCCTTTGACCTTTGAGTAACAACACTGTACAAAGACGTATTAATGAAATGAGCTCTGATGTTGAAAGTTTCTTGTGTGATTATCTACGAACAACTCATTTTTCTATTCAACTGGATGAGTCAACTTTACCTGGCAATGAAACATTATTATTGGCATATGTTCGATTTGTTATGGGCGAAGAAATTCATGAAGAGCTACTATTCGCGAAAACTTTGAAGACGGACACTTAAGGTGAATCAATATTTAATGTTTTGAGTGATTTTTTTAAAGAAAAATTGATTCCATTCACAAACGTTATTTCGGTGGCAACAGATGGAGCTCCTGCCATGGTCGGACGATATCGTGGGTTTATAAGCCATCTTAAAAGAATTATACCAGAGGTAATTGCGATTTACTGTGTTATCCACCGACAACATCTAGTAGCGAAAATTTTGAGTGATAGATTGCACCAATCGCTTCAATTTATGATTAATGCAGTTAACAAAATAAGAAGCAATGCATTGAATACGTGTTTATTTGCAACGATTGCTGTTACATACCGAAGTACGCTGCTTGTCAAAGGTGCATGTTTATCAAGATTTTATTTACTTTTTGACTCAGTTTTAGAGTTTTTGGAAAGTAAAGATCCTGATTTTAAAGAAACTTGATCAATTTTAAAGCAGACATCGCGTATTTGACAGATTTGTTCAAAAAATTTAATGACCTCAACTTACAATTACAAGGGGACAGCCTCAATTTAATAAAAACAAAGAGTGTAATTTCAGCTTTTCTTGGTAAATTGAAATTTATGAAGGAAAATATTGGTCGGCGCGAATTTTCTTAGTTTTTAAACTTGTCGCAGGTAGAATGCCTTGATGAAGATATTCAGACATACGTTCAACATTTGATTGCCCTGTATGATGATTTTAAATTCAAATATTCTGTCGATGGAAATACCACCATGGTTCATAAATCCATTTGATGAAACAGAAGTGGAGAATGTGATATTACAAGAGGAGCTACTCGAGCTTAGCACTAATGAGCTGAAAGTGACATTTAAAAGAGTATCAAAAATTTTGGCTGCAGGCAGAAATACCCGAAAAATATCCTGGACTGTTGGGAATTGTGCAAAAGCTTCTGATAGCGTTTCCCTCATCATATCTTGTCGAAAAATGTTTTAGTGCAGTTACAAACTTATTAACAAAAAAAAAAGGAGCAGATTGAATATCACAGAAAGGGGAGATTTACGGTTATTCCTTACAAAACTCAAGCCAAATATTGATAATTTGCTGTCAATCCATCAAGTACATCCCTCTCATTAAAATTATATTTTTTTTGTAATTACCATTGTAGAAATTACATTACAAGTGTTTAATTTTAATTATATTACGATGGTTATAACAATAATAATTAATAGTGTAATAATTTATGTATTTAAATTTAAATAAATACAAGGAAATATACTATATTTCTTTTTATCACTCTAAATGGGACGTTTTGTAAATAAAATTTGTGAGAATTGATTGGTTCTTGTGTTGTGAGTAATGTAGATTTCAAAAAAGTAAAGTTGGATGGAGTCACTTTTTCGTTTGACCAACTTTGCTTTTTTGACATCCACTCACAGCACAATCAATTAAAATTTAACTGAAAATTTGTTTAGTCGACTTTATTATCAAATAATTAACCCTATCAAGCAATCAATTCTAACTTTTTTTTTTTTTCGAAAATTGTTAATTCGTCGTTAAAACTCAGCCACAACGCAAGTTTCCATAGATAGTTCTAATATTCACTTTCTTTCGAGATTTAGAAATTGGTAGTGATGTAGCTACACCATATCCAGCAAAATTTTGAAAGTGGTCTATGAAACAAAAGAGTTTGGGAACCTCTGGTCCAAATTCTAACAATGACTAAGGAGCTGGAAACGTATTTAAAATTCCTCATCAGAGTACTGCATTAGTCCTGAATTTTGTCACATTTTAGAAATTTTATGTTTTAATGACGGTAGATACAATATTGTAAAATAATGTGTATGTACTTTTGAATAAACTACCTATCATTATCATATATAATACAACAAATAGTATCGGGATTATTGATAATTGCATAATGCACGAAACTTAGGTTTGACAACAGGTTGAATGATTTTACTTATGTAATTATCCATAGTTTCGATACCAAAAGTTGTATTCAGTAGATTATATCACGAATAAATAAAATGCCATTTTAAAACGTTCAGAATGAAGTAACCAAATAATCGACAAAATAGGATTAAATAAAATTATGAAATACTTATATTATAAAAACACAATACAAGGAAAATACCCGATTTCAGAACAGTGCTGCTAAATGGTCAGCTCTAATTGTAAGAAAGAGAAAACCTTTAATGAATATCATATATTAAAATTAGAAGCCCGTCAATAATTAATTACGAATGGGCAATATATGGATTTTACCGTTACAAGTAACTTTGTCATCACCTTTGTTGAAAGGCTAATATATTTTAGCTACAACATCAAAATATGTTCGAAAAAGTAAGTAAATAATATTTTAATTTATTTATTTTTAGATTGGTTGTCGCGGGTGATACACGTGGTAGGATCTTCTTTTTTAATAAAAGATTAATGATTTTGTATTGGCTCACTACTTTTAACTTGGGACCAATTTCGTCGGTAAGCTTCAACTTGGTACCAAAAGTGAAACGTCAAGAAATGGGTCAATATTTTTTTGGTAAGTATATTTAAAAATAGTAACTTGCTGACTTAACATTAGTAATCATTAGATATATTGAGAATATATAGTCTTTTTATAATGATGATGGATGGTGTTTTCCTCATCTGTAATTCAAATGACACCGTACAGTCATCTGTAAGCCACCCCTAAGTTCCACGACAAATAATAATATTAATAATAATAATAATAATAATAATAATAATAATAATAATAATAATAATAATAATAATAATAATAATAATAATAATAATAATAATAATAATAATAATAATAATAATAATAATAATAATAATAATAATAATAATAATAATAATAATAATAATAATAATAATAATAATAATAATAATAATAATAATAATAATAATAATAATAATAATAATAATAATAATAATAATAATAATAATAATAATAATAATAATAATAATAATAATAATAATAATAATAATAATAATAATAATAATAATAATAATAATAATAATAATAATAATAATAATAATAATAATAATAATAATAATAATAATAATAATAATAATAATAATAATAATAATAATAATAGCTGTCCCTTTCCCGCACATGCCAATCAGCTTCTCGGATTAAAATTTAATCTTTAAGAGAAAATTTAGTGTCATCGGTATAAACTACTATCCAACTAGCACATAAACATCCGATCTACATTAATAAGCTAAAATTCCGGGATCTTTTAACTCTCACGTGATGTTCTTTTAATGTAACTTTAACATCCATGGTACATCCGAATGTCCGAAACCACAGGAGTTTTATGACACCTCTCATAGAGGTTACAAACGGAAGTTCAGAAAACATCACACTAGCAGTTTTTATAGATCTTTCCCCCGAAAGTTGTTCTGAAACGTCTCATAAATGTTATAATTTGAGTTAGTTTTACAGTATCCTATAATGTTTATTTATTTATTATTTATTTATTATTAACAGGCAGTGTCCATGTGCCCAATATCTTTACACTTTGGATGTATATATACAAACTTAAAACTAACAAGTGTACATAAGAAATTAATAATTAAAGACACAAAAAGATATTTTTTAACAAACAAATCTACTGTTGAAGACATCGAATTGGCAAATTTCATTGATCTGATCCAATATGAGTTTTCTGTGTAGTTGGTATTATAAATTGTTAAGTAGAACAAGTTCGTTGCTCTGGTTGACTTGAAGGGAATATTAAAATGCAACTTGTATAGAAGGTCAGATCATTTTTTGGTTATATTTGGAATATGATATAGGAGCAAGAGATCTTGTGTGGCTCTCCTTGACTTGTAAGGTTTTTACACTCAACATGGATTCGATTTCATTATATTCGGTGAGGTTATAGTATAGTATGAACTTGTTCCAATTTGTTAATACGTATATTATAGCAAGGTGGCCATACAAGAAGCATATTCAAGGTGAGGTCTAACTAATGATACCTACATATAAAATTTTTATTGCATATTTATTTGAGAAGTCATGTGTAATATGTTTATCAAAATCAAGCATTTTAAGAGATTTGTTTATCGCTAAGTTGATGTGGGGAATTCATTTAAGTGATTTATCAAAGGTCGCACCTAAATCCTTTATAGTCTCAACTTTCTGTAAATGAATATCATTTATAACATAAACATTGATAAAAGGCTTTCTGGACCCTGAAAAAGATATAGTAAGACTCTTGTTAATATTGAGTTCCATCAGATTTTTCTTACACCACATAACAAGACGTTTTAAGTCCTCATCTGCAAAACAAGAACTTTGAATGGGAGAAGCTATGTCGTTAATAAACAGGTTGAAGATGATTGGCCCTAAGTGTAATCCTTGAGGGACACCTGATATCTATATAGGTTTGTAATTGGCTATCCTCACAATTTGCGCTCTGCCAGTAAGATAAGTCCTCATCCAACTAAGGAAAAAACCATTTATGCTTAGAGTCTTAAGTTTGTATAACAAGGCTTTATGATTAACGCGATCATATGCCTTAGAGAGATCCGTATAAATTGCTTCTGCCTGAACTCTTTTTTCCAAGGCATTAAATAGATGATCGTGGTAAGTGAGTAGATTAGGCTCACTGGATTTGGAAGACTAGAAACCATGTTGTTGGTCAATTAAAACATTTTTAAATAAAGGGATAAGAATTTCACCAATATAACTCTCAAAAAGTTTGGGTACAGTACTAAGGATACTAATTGGACGATAGTTAAAGACATTAGACTTATTTTCACTTTTAAAAATGGGACTTATCTAGCTTGTTTTCTGTGTACAAGGAAAATACAAGTCCTTTGGGACATGCATATATAAAGTAATGGCCTAGAGACATTAAAATTAATTTTTTTCTTTTAAAAATGGGTGGTCAAGGTCATTTATTTATATTGAGGTTGCTGAATTTCAAATGAATATCTGATATTGAAATTTTGTTGTTCTTGTTGATATTACCAGTATCATAAAGAGGAGAATTGGGAATTTCAAAAGTGCTATCAGAATAAACTGATGCAATTTACTCAGCAAACATGTTTACTATATCTACCTGAATCACCAACTATACCATTGAATTGTATTGAGCCTGATATACCATTTTGCTTTCTTTTTAAGTTTACAAAAGTCCAGAACTTTTTAACGTTTGGGAGCAAGGCGTCAGATGGGGATCGAGTAGTTTTGTAATGTTTGTATGCCAGCATTTTAGCTATGATACATTTGATTTATATTAAAAGAAAACCATATCGGGAATTTTTTACAAGTAATTTTGTACAAATAAGTAACTGCAATAAAAATTGGTAATCATATTATTCAAGATTTTATTTAAAAGTAATTGATCCCAAGATACCTGATAAAATCGCGTTAAAAACCATAACTACTAAGCACTTCACTATTTAAAACATAAAGGATGCTCACAGTCAAAGGAGGATGATAATGGTATGGTTCAATAATGTCTTCATCTGTAGCAGAAACATCTTTCATTTGGTCTTGAGTTAATACAAGATCTAGTAAGTTGCCAGAGATATTTCGTACCGGATTGCTTTGAAATAGATGATGGAAAGCACAAGTATTAGAAAGTGATTCTATTTACAATTATTCTTCGGGTATGGTACCTAATGAGGTTTGAGCAGTTGAGTGGGGCAGATTAAAATCACCTAATAAGAGGCTTTATCATAGGGATAATGGTAGCAGGTAAATTTTTCGGAAGCAATTGTTCGAAATCAATTATTCGAAATCAGTTATTCGAAAGTAAATTATTCGAAAGATCATTTATTCGAAAAGCAGTTATTCGAAAGTCAATTGTTCGAAATCTGTTATTCGAATTGAAATTTTTAAAATTACCAAATTTTCTTAAACTAATAAATCATTGTTAAAAATTAAAACAATAATACAGAGTTTAATTTTAAGTAGGTAGATGTAATTACAAAATATAAAACTAATAACTTAAATTATACGCTATCCCTTTAAGGTATTCTACAATTGTGGTTTCCTCAAAAGTTTCTACAATACCTGGTATTCTTTGTGCACAGTCCTTATATATTTTTTTTTTAATTAATGGAGGTGCTCCTGCTACGTACTGCTCCATTCTTAAATGGTTTAATGAGTGTTCTATTTTTACGGCGTCAATAAATTTCCAGATACTAGGATGGCTAGCTAATATCTGGCTTTCGAAGCTTCTGTACCAACCCTCTATTATTAGTTTTAGCTAACCCTGTGATAGCAGCATCGAAATATTTCCACATAATATGAGGAAATTTAGGGGTTCGTCGCTTCTCTCTTCTGTCTAGACGACTTATCCAAGTGTCTTCGAAATAATCGATAACCGGTAAGGCTTCATCTGGAAGTAAACCTGTGTCCTGTAACTTGTTAAATGAATATTCAACAAATTCAACTGGGACAAATGCTATGGCATTTAGCATCCTTATATGCAGAGCAAATTCTGCGTCTGTATTATATCGGTTTTTTAAGCCGGATGTTTGGATTTTTCTATATAGACACTGGCAGAAATAAGAGAAACATCCTCTTATTGTGGCTTCTGGAAAGGTTATGCACAATGCGTTCATCGCTGCCTTTTCAAAATCTATTAAAACTGTAGTTAATGCAGCTGTGTGACAAAGGTTCTTGATCTCTTGTATCATTTTTGTATACGTACTCTCTGTTTTATCGGGAAGAAGTGCATACAGTAGCGGAATGGCGTAATTTTCTTTCAATCCGTGGATGGTATAATTGTGCAAACAGATGGGGTACTGTTTTAAAAGTTCCGTTCATAAACCAGTGATCTGACTTTTCCAGAATACTAAGAGACCTTTGTGTTCCAAAAATTAAAATTCTGGAATCGGTGGCTCCAGAGTCGAATTGAAGAAAAAATTCTCTGTTGGTCGTTTCTTGTTAAGTGTCTTGATAATAATATCCCGTCTGGATTGTGGAATAGCAGGTGCGCCGTCGTTTCTCTGCTTGATGTTTCGAATGGTCCTTCTTATGTTATTGATATCTGGCAAACGTCCTGCTGAATAACTACTCACCGCTGGTGAGTGAGAAGAAATTATGTATTGGGGCGTATCTTGTGTAGTTTTAGCACGGTCCCTTACTTTGTCTAAAAATTTGGTGACCTCAAGTCGGGCAGCGTCTCCACTATGATTGTGTTCTCTGGGTCCTTTTTGAATACCATCTCTGTCAGTTATAACTCGTGCTCTACACTTATATTTGTGGAAGTGTTCACATTTCCAATATATTTTGCTGCCGACTTGTTTATCTTTGACAAACATAACACCATTAATAACTAGCTTACGATTTACTTTTTCTCTCAAAACAAACACCATGTTTGCATTGAAAACAATACCAAAGCGAAACAGATACTACTGCAAAAAAGTGTTGTCTTTTATTTATAATAATTTAAACAGACTTTATTAGTACCTATTTTTTAAAACATCCTTATTAGATCACTTTATTAATACTCATTTTCTATAATACCCTTAATACTGTTAATTGTTTTTTAGTGGCTAGACCGTAAGTCAAAACACCCTTATTAGGGCACCAATTGACCTGATTACTGGGAATGGTTATAGTAATTAATGATGTGTCATTACCTTATAGTAATTTAAACAAACTTTAACAAAATATAAGTTTTGCTTCGAATAATAACTTTTCAACAACTATTGTCTTTCGAATAAATGCTATTCGAATAATTTATTTTCGAATAGTTGATCTTCCGAATAATTGACTTTCAAACAATTCATTTCCAATAATTGATTTCGAATAATTGATTTCGAACAATTGCTTTCGAACAATTTACCTAGACCCGTGGATAATTGCGGGTGATCATGTCAATATCAAAAATAACCAATTCCAATGACAGTTTGATTCTATCCACATCCAATCAATACAAATAGCTGCTCAATTTCATCAGAAGAAGTTTACATTTGATATATTTTTTCTGCCGACTTAGATCACACCCTCTTCTCTAGTAGTTATTAGTATTGTCACACCGATATTTTCTATAAATTTCATAGTTGGGTAGATTATTTAGCCATGTCTCTGTTAGAACTCTGTTATATAGTAATGGCATTACGTTCTCTCAAAACAACATCGCAGAAAGGTTTGGCAACGTTAAGTGCTAGCAGAATAAGGTGTTCGATGTGAACTTTTTAACATTTTTCAATTCAACTTTAGAAACATTATTAGATCTCAACAGAATAATTATTATTTATAGGATGCTGAGTCCAAAATTTTTGATTGTTTTCGGTGAGTTTTGTATAATTGAGATCTAATTAGTAGTTAGGCTATACAGTTCTTCTCTTCTATATCTTCCGGAAACTTCTAGCAATGCGATTATCCATAACAAATAAAAACTGGATATTTTTCAAATTTTAATATAGATATCTAATTTATTTCTACAACTGAAATTAAAATATATTTTCATACCTTCATGGTTCCACTTTTTTCATAATCAACACATTTTACTGGTTAGGATGATAACTCAAACATTGCTTTTTTTAAAAAGCGATCAGCTTTGGAAAACGCAAAATATCGACATTCTGATTGACGATTTAACCATAGAGTACTTTGGCCACACAAGGATTTAATTGATGCTTTCGACTAAAAGTCAAAATTATATTAGTTAAACGAAGATCTTTAAAAGAGTATTTACCAAGCCCATAAAGCGCTTTTCAAAGAAATTTCATTTATTTTAGCCATTTTTCTTGGAGATTAATTATGAATATTGTTGGTGATTCTTAATATATAAACTAACATGCCATTGTCTGTCTTTAGTTACACTGTTACTACGATTACCTTTACTTATCTATAAATATTTATAAAAATCGGATACGTTTTCTATTAAGGTAAACCTGGGTAAGTGTGAATCGGGGGTAACTGTGAACATATCATTTTAAAATGACAGGAGTACACCGATAGAAGTGCGTTTTTTGTTCGTAGTAGTATATCATCCAATTGGCGGGTGCGACATAACCTATTTAATTCATGCCATAAAGTGATCACAGTGGATGAGTGCACCGTGTTATTTTTAAAATACAAGGAAAAATTATTTTTAATTATTGCTATTGTATTTGTAATATGTTAAGTTTAACACAGTATATATGCATTTTCGTTTTTTTTTTCGTACTGTTGATAAATATCGTGTTCACACTTACCCCTTAGTATTTCGTATAATGAGGTAAGTGTGAACATTTCATCAGTGCAAGTGTGAACGTACATTTTTGCGGTGTAAAAACTTAATAAAAATTTTTCATTTCAGAATATGCCAAGAGTCTACGTAAGAAAGACTAACAGAGGAGGGTCTTATTCAAAGGAAGATATAAATTTAGCTGTGGCTGAAATTAAACGCGGTGCTCTAACCATACATAGAGCCCATAGATTATATCATATTCCGAAAACTACTCTATTTTATCACCTGAAAGGTACCCGAGGAAAAAAAGCGAGACACAAGGCCGTTCTACAGTGATTCCAAAAGAGGATGAAATCAAATTAGCAAATGCTCTTCGCACACTTGAGAAGTGGGGCTTTGGAATCACGAGAAAAGAATTGCTGATGGTTGTTGCAAGTTATGTTGAACAAAATAATATTAAGACACCATTCAAGAACAACATACCTGGTGATGATTGATTCAGAAACTTCAAAATACGTCACCACCTGAGTATAAAGAAGCCCCAATCAGTTGAGTACGCCCGAAAAAAGATGACAGATCCGTTTATCATTAATGCATATTTCGATATTTTGAATCAAACTTTAACAGATTTATCACTTCATAACAAGCCCGAACAAGTTCTTTTTCTCATGATCCTTATAAAACAAAAATTGTTGGTGCAAGGGGAAAAGCTTGTTCCAGAACCGTGTCAAGTCCGGGCCGGGAAAATACAACTATTTTAGCTGCTTCCGGATTAAAAGCCCCTCCACTCATTGTGTATAAGGGGAAGAATATTTGGGATGCCTGGGTTCCAAATGAAGAAGACTCGTATTCGGGAATGTCATTTGCTGCCAGCAAAAAAGGCTGGATGGAGACAGACATTTTTTTAAATTACTTTGAAAAAACTCTACTGCCTGCTCTGGGACCACACAGACCTGTTCTGATTATTTATGATGGTCATAGCACCTAAGTTAACATTCCTCTAATAGAATTGGCAACTACCAATAATGTAACTTTTCTCAAACTTCCCCACACACGAGCCACCTTTTTCAGCCACTAGATATATCGGTGTTCAGATCACTGAAGGGTACATGGGATGAAAGATTAGTGGCTTGGCAAACGAGAAATGTGGGAATTGAAATAACAAAGAAACAATTTTCGGCAATGATCGGTCAAGCCTGGAAGGACCTCAAGCCTATCACTATTAGTAATGGTTTTGTAAAAGCTGGGATACAGCCATTTGATCGGCAGGTCTGTTAAGTTATTTAAAAATATGCACGCCACTGGAACGATCCACGCCAGAGCGAGAGAGGGTTTCAAGTCGACGAGACGAAAAAAGAACGGCACTAGCAGAAAGAGTCGTCAAAATAGGTCAAAATAAGTCCAAACAAGGTCATATCTGAAGACAAATATGATCCTGAATGTTTAAGAAGGTGGAGAAAACACACCTCAGGTAATGCTGTTGGGAGACGAGAAGAAAACCAAAATGTTGGAGGAAACGAAAATGTCGAAGAAAACGAAAATGTCGAAGACAACCAAAACGTCGAAGGAAACCAAAATGTCGGAGAAAACCAAAATGTCGAAGAAAACCAAAATGTCGAAGAAAACCAAAATGTCGAAAAAACCCAAAATGTCGAAGACAACCAAAATGTCGAAGGAAACCAAAATGTCAAAGAAAACCAAAATGTCGAACAAATTCCAAATATAGAAGCTACAACTAGTCGATCCACATCAAAATTATCATTTGAAGAGCTTATTTTGAAAACAATAAGACACTCTGATAGTGGCCAGGTACAAAAAATAAAAAAAAAAGAAAAGTGGCAGAAGTCATCACTGCACCACAGGTATTAGTTAGACTAGGAGAAGAAAAAGCGACTAAGATTAAGAAAGTTTTCCGACAAAAAGTTAATAAAAAGCATAAAATCCAGAACGAAAGTGACATCGAATCTACAGATGAAGAGCTGGACGATTTCTCTGTAATAATTAATTCAGCAGATGACTTGGACCCAGAGAGTTCTGATCCAGAAGAAGAGCTAGATACAGATAAAACTCTGGACAAAAAAATCGAAGAAGAGCAAACTAATATCGAAAACGGCAAATGGGTGGTAGTTTAATATGAAACCAAGAAGAGAATAAGGCATTTTGTTGGCAACATTTTGAACGAAACTGATGAAGGATGGGAAGTGAAATTTTTAAAATTCGGCAGAAAAACCTTTTCTTGGCCCGATATAGACGATATTGATACGATTAATAAAGAAATGATCATAAGAATCCTGCCAGACCCCAAGAGAGGCCGCAGAGGAGACACATTCATTTTTTCAGTAGATTTGTCAAATTTTAATTTAGGCACTTAAGTTATATTTCATTTTGAAAAGTTCATAACTTTTTAACTATTTTAGATATTAAAGCGTTCAAAAAACAAAATTGTAGCTTTTTTTAACAGTATTTCACACTTGCCCCAAATTATCTAAAAACACCTTATATTGTAGACAGCATGAACCGCGTTCACACTTTGTGGGGCAAGTGTGAACACCGGACAAAAAAAAAAAATAAAAATAGGTAAAAGTGTTTTGCTTTTAACCAGCAAAACTCAAAAATCATGTAGACAGATACTCATACTAGCTATGTTTAAAATATGAAATTTAAAAGACATATATTTTAGAAGTTATAATGCTTTAAATTGGCACTAATCAAAAAAGCGTTCACTCTTACCCAGGTTTACCTTAATTAAAATTACAACCAATTTTTTAACAAATACTACTTAGACTACTTAATGTTAAATAGCACATTTAAAATTTTATAAATTGTGGACAATATGAAATAAAATAATTTGTCCGGGAAGTGATTATCCTAGTACTTCCAGAATTTTTTACGTAAATTACTATTACAAAATAAACTCAATTTTTCTATTATTTTAGACAAGACTACCGAAGAGGAAATCATGAACTGCGATTTTTTGGATATGGCTGAAGAATTCGAAGTACTTTTTAAACACGACTTACCTAAAGATGCTACTATAAATCGTGCACCGTTTGTAATAAGAGACTTTTTTATTGGTAAAACTAATATTATTAAGTTAGCAAATACAAGATATTAAGCTGGATGTGCACGCGACATAATGAGGTGCTATTTGACAGGCTGGCGTCTACTAGCGAACACTAAATCACTAAAATTAAATTGAACACTTACATTACATTCAAATGCAATATCTTTTAATTACTTAAAAATTGTTTCTGATTAATACGCAGCTAGTGTTTTTTCTCTAATATCGGCTTAGAAACAAGGATAGAGCTTATAACATATAGTATCATGAGATATAGCCCCATCCAGTTTAATATGAAGGCTGATGTTTTACAGCTGTTATAACAGGTTGTATGTTGAAAATGTCCATCAATAATTGATGCATCCGCCTAATTTATTTTATTCGGCCACTAACTTAGAAGAAACGAAATGTATAGCAGGGATAAAAGTTGGAAAGGCTTTTGGTAGGTAGAGAGGTGGTAAACGTCAAACCATCGGAGGACGCGGTAATGTTTATCATTGTCGTATCATAAAATAAAAGTAATACCAAATAATATAAATTATTACTGGCGGAATCGGGCAAATGTATATATTTATGAGCTACAAATAATTATTTAAATAAGAAATACTGTTCCTAATCATAATTCTACAAAATTTTTACAACTATTCACAATTTATTGAACTATTTACGCGAAATTGTTATTAGAAATTATAAAATAATTTTCTACGGCAATGTTACGTATTCACTTCGGTTAACTCAACGGCAAAACTGTCAAATCCTGCATTTGAACTGGGAGAACTGACAAAAGCCTTTCCAACTTCTGTCCCTGCCATACTTATAATATAAGCCAGACATAGGGAAATGTGGGGTGGAACGGGATAACGTTAAATTATATTGTGGTATCAATTTTGAGTAGTTTTGTTCATAATAAATATAAGAGCACATTTGAGAAAAATCTTTCATTGTTAATATTAAACTTTTTTTATACTTTTTTCAGCAACTGCGCAAAGCAATATTTATTCAGTAGATGTTATTAACCACAAATGTGTACCTCTATTCCATATAGCCGATGGTTATGTAGCAGCTATTGAAACTCACGAGGAATCGTAAGTGAAAAAATATTCGCTGTTCTATTATTCATGTATTCTTGACATTCTTGTACTAAATATTAGTGATGCCGCAAGATGAGACGAGAAAGCGCTTCTCTCACTAGAGAGAGAGAGCCCTTCTCTTGTTTCGTCTCGTCTCTCTCTCGTATTAAAAACAAATATCAAATTTAAAATTGAAAAAAAAAATGTAAAATTTTTAAGACAAAAACGAAGAATTTTTCAAGTAATTTGTCTCATTAATACCCAAATTGGCGCAAAGTGGCGCAGCCACCATGTTCAAATAGCAGTTATTTAAAAGTTTCGTACTGTTTTGATCAATAATGGCTCGGAAAGCAATATTATCTTTACAATCAAATTATGCATTAGAAAAAATAGTTGATGATGCTTCCCTTGTTTATAACTTTATAGAAGTACATAGTTGTGAGCAATTGAAAAGGTGGTTGAAGTGTCATGGACGTTTGCAACAAGGAAAAAGTGTGCTGCTTGAGAGGTTAGGTATAAAAACTTGTTTACTGAGTAAAAACATATTGAAAACAAATAATTATAACTTCTCCTAATTAATGATGCCAACTAACTATTAGTACCTATTTGTAAAAACACTTGAATTAACATAAAAGTTGGAGGTCTTTCCTAAATAAATTAAATAAGAGTACTCCTATATCTAAAATTTGGCACATTATTAGATCTGTCACTAATAAATATCACCAGAAAAAAAAGCCCCCTTTAGGCAAACATTTAATTGAAAATATTCTGGATAAACTAGCTCCCCCATCTGTTCCTGGTAACCTTTTTAGTTGTTATAATAACCTTTTTCAATTTATTTTCAATTCAAATCCTTTATCTATTCCATTTACTCATGAAGAACTAAATGTAACTTTAAAAAAGAGCAGAAATTCTGCCCCAGGACTGGATGGATTCACATATAAAATTTTGTACAATCTTCCTGAAGTAGGAAAAAAATTATTTTTACAGTTTTTTAATAATTGGTGGTTAAAGCAAGAATATTCTGATATATTCAAAAATATAATCATTTGTCTTGTACTTAAACCAAATAAAACCATAGATGTCCCGTCATCCTATCGACCCATCTCATTAATGTCATGTGTTTCCAAAACCTTCGAGAGCATGATAAAATTTAGGCTAGAACATTTTGTTGAAAGTAGGTCTCTCTTGCCTAGCACTCAGTACGGATTTCGTAGAGGTCAAGGCACAATTGATGCCTTGATGACACACTTAATTACTAAAAATAAGTATATGTTATGTTTATTCATAGATTTAACAGGCGCCTATGACGTGGTTGATTTAGGTATTTTACAATCTAAGATGAATAAAATTGGCATCAATAATAAGGTATCTGCAAACATAATCAATTTATTTATAAACAGAAAGATATTTGTCCGTGATCATAAAAATGTACTACATGGCCCAAGAACCGTATATAATGGTCTACCACAAGGAGCTGTATTAATTTCACTTCTTTTTAATATATATATATACAGCAGAACTGCATGATTTGATGGATGATACCATTAAAATCATCCAATATGCAGATGACATATGCTTTTATACCATCCAAAATTCATATGAACGTTGTCTGAGAGACTTAAAATATGTATTTTATTGTTTGAAAGACTGGATTAGTGACATGGGTTTTAGTATTTCACAGGAGAAATCAGCTGTCATGTGCCTTACGACGCGACACAGACTCGGAACTGCTGAATACTGCTCATTAGGTGACTTGACTATACCCATAGTTAGTGAATACAAATACCTTGGTTTAGTTATAGATAAAAAATTGCTATGGACCAGCCATATAAAATACATAAGGCAAAAGTGTGATAAGGGACAATCCCCTACGTGTAGTAGGTATCTAAAAATAAATGGGGTGCAGACCCAAACATCTCCTTCACATTTTATAAATCTTATATTTGTTCTATACTGGATTATGGATGTACTCTTTATGGATCGACCTGTAATTCAAATTTGTTATCTGTAGATCGTATTCAATTTAAAGCCTTAAAAATATGTTTAGGGGCTTGGTATCGTCACCTAATCATGCAATTCTTGCTGAGGCACAGGATCCATCCGCCTCTGTGCATTCGAAGAGAATTTTTAGCAAATAAACAAGTTATTAAGTCTTTAGTCTTAAGTTATTAAGTTATTAGGTCTTTTAGTAATTTTATGATTATCAAAATTTTAACTTTGGCTGTAGAGAACTTAACGAAATTATACTGGGAAAAGAAGAACTCTCCTCCTCTTGCAAATGCTTTTATTGATACTATACTCTGTTTTTAAACTAGGAGGAGCGATTTGAATTTAAGTTGGCAATTCTGTAGGCTTCTGATTGGTCAGATTACAGTCAGTTTCACACATCACTTTTTAGCATTAACATCAGCTATATAATAGTAACTGGTATTGTTGACAGTTCTGACATTTTATATTTTGATATCTCATCATTATTACTTAGTTTTTTACTTTATTTCCTAAATAATAGTCCTTTTCAAAACTTCAGTAAGCAATTGTATTGAATTTCTACGATTATGGATTCTTCTTCACCGAGTACTATTAATGGTAGCAGTTCCTGAAAAGCCCTACAAGAAAGGGAAGACGACTTATTATTTTACATGCTGATTCAGAAGAGGATTTTGTAGAAAATGCAATATTGGTTTTAAAGGCAAAAAGACGGGAGATTACCATGAAGAGATGAATTCCGAAGTATTCCAGAAAAAATTAACAACTTTATTACTGATTTTTTAAAACTAAAACTTGATAATTTTTTACCAAACTGATTAAAAAGTAACTAAATATTCAAGTAAATTTTATTTATTAGACAATTTACAAAATTGTTTATTCAGATTTAAAACACCATCTACTACATTCGAGATAATCTTAATTTAGCATAATGAGCTAACATTACTTCCACAATAAATATTTTAAAAATATCCACTTAACATTAACACATAGGTATGTATGATTAGTTCACTTTAAATTAAAAAATATAGGTAAAAATTACAACTTCAGTTAAAAGGACCTACAATTTTATTAAGATAAAATTTAGTAATGATATAATGTTGATATGTAGTGTTATGTAGCGTATTAACTATGGGTTAACACAAAATTAACTACAATGTCCATATTAGTCATAGGATAAATTCCAGTCACTGTGTAATCCAGTTGCCATTCACTGATTACCTTCTACTTAATTTTATACCTGTAACAAATAAATCATTAAAAATGTAAAACGATAATATTTCTATGTTTTATACTAACCTGCATCTTGATATTCTTTTAACAATTTTCATCAATATTCAGTATTCATTCAAAAAAATCGCACTCCTCAAAAAGTCGATTTCAAAAGTAAGAAAAACATATCTCTAAAAACAAATCAACGACCATATTAAATTTCATTTGACAGTGACAATTCATTTTAGACACACTTTTTTACGACCGTTGTCTAGAACCAATAAAAAATCGACTCCTATGACATGTATTTGTTCATTAATCCCTGATTGGCTGTTCGCCGACTAGGGCCGATAATGACAACTATTACATAAATTTTGAACACGACTATATTTCGGAACACGCTCTTAGTAAAAAATCTAGTAACTTTTCCCTGTGTAAATGCGTCTTTTTAATTCGCTCCTCCTAGTTTAAAAACAGAGTATAGTCTATATAATAACCAAATTGAAAAATTTCAGAAATTACCCATATATGAAATTGAATTCAAAATTCTGATATCTAAACCAACCATTATTATTCTGAAACTCAGATATTGCAAGCCTTGCGAAAACTATCTTTAATTCAGTACTTCGGTAATTTGGGAGATAATTTAACTACTATTTATACAGATGGATCAAAAAATGGTTTAGGTACTGGCTGTGCATTTCTTGTTTCAGACACTAATTATGTAGAATCATTTAAATTACCCTGTTTCTATTCTATATTCACAGCTGAAGCAGTGGCGATTCTAAAAGCCTGAGATTGGTGCAAAGCAAATTCATTTCAGAATATAGTTATAGTGTCTGACTCCCAATCAGTTCTGCAGGAGGCTACTGATAGCCCTTCCATAAGTAAAAACAAAAATGCGGTAATATTATCCATTAAGAAAATTATATTTGACCTTAAACAGTGTGCGTTAAAGTTTCCTTGGTTTGTGGCAATGTAGGAAATGAACATGTGGATAGGGCTGCTAAACAAGCATGTAGAACAAATTACATTATTTTGTAGTTTTATAGATATTATTAACATTTATAAAAAAGATGTAAGAAACAAATGGGAAATTAAATACACTGAGCATGCGAAGGCATCACAAAGTCACTATTATAGTATACATCCAAATCTTCCTAAGAATATTTCTTACATCAGTTTATGGAACTCATCAGTTCATGAAACTATAATAAATATCAGTCATCTATAATTACTCGTTTGAAGCTCAATCACGGCCGATTCCCTGCACATTTATGTAAAATTGGAATATTGGATTCTCCCTTTTGTCCATATTGCAATATAAACGCTGTAGCAGATATCAATAATTTATTTTTAGATTGTAATAAAAATGCTCAACATACCATCGTATTATATCAAGATTTAAATAAACTTTCACTCCCACTTCCACTCAATATTTCTTCACTTTTAGTTCAATCAGATAAGATAATTTTTGACGCTATTATTAAATTTACTTAAAATACTAAAATAGATATTTAACATAATATATATGAAAATTATTAAGTTTAAACTTTCTGTGGTAAATAGACTTGCATGTCTGATGCCATCCCATTAATAAAAAAAAAACATAAAAGTTAATCACGAGTATAATTAATAAAATACATTATTTAATATTTTAAGGACATTTTTAGTCATATTACTGTGTATGTAATGTGTATAAAATGTGTATGTAATGTGTATGTAATGTGTATGTAATGTGTATGTAATGTGTATGTAATGTGTATGTAATGTGTATGTAATGTGTATGTAATGTGTATGTAATGTGTATGTAATGTGTATGTAATGTGTATGTAATGTGTATGTAATGTGTATGTAATGTGTATGTAATGTGTATGTAATGTGTATGTAATGTGTATGTAATGTGTATGTAATGTGTATGTAATGTGTATGTAATGTGTATGTAATGTGTATGTAATGTGTATGTAATGTGTATGTAATGTGTATGTAATGTGTATGCAATGTGTATGTAATGTGTATGTAATGTGTATGTAATGTGTATGTAATGTGTATGTAATGTGTATGTAATGTGTATGTAATGTGTATGTAATGTGTATGTAATGTGTATGTAATGTGTATGTAATGTGTATGTAATGTGTATGTAATGTGTATGTAATGTGTATGTAATGTGTATGTAATGTGTATGTAATGTGTATGTAATGTGTATGTAATGTGTATGTAATGTGTATGTAATGTGTATGTAATGTGTATGTAATGTGTATGTAATGTGTATGTAATGTGTATGTAATGTGTATGTAATGTGTATGTAATGTGTATGTAATGTGTATGTAATGTGTATGTAATGTGTATGTAATGTGTATGTAATGTGTATGTAATGTGTATGTAATGTGTATGTAATGTGTATGTAATGTGTATGTAATGTGTATGTAATGTGTATGTAATGTGTATGTAATGTGTATGTAATGTGTATGTAATGTGTATGTAATGTGTATGTAATGTGTATGTAATGTGTATGTAATGTGTATGTAATGTGTATGTAATGTGTATGTAATGTGTATGTAATGTGTATGTAATGTGTATGTAATGTGTATGTAATGTGTATGTAATGTGTATGTAATGTGTATGTAATGTGTATGTAATGTGTATGTAATGTGTATGTAATGTGTATGTAATGTGTATGTAATGTGTATGTAATGTGTATGTAATGTGTATGTAATGTGTATGTAATGTGTATGTAATGTGTATGTAATGTGTAAGTAATGTGTATGTAATGTGTATGTAATGTGTATGTAATGTGTATGTAATGTGTATGTAATGGGTATGTAATGGGTATGTAATGGGTATGTAATGGGTATGTAATGGGTATGTAATGTGTATGTAATGTGTATGTAATGTGTATGTAATGTGTATGTAATGTGTATGTAATGTGTATGTAATTTGTATGTAATGGGTATGTAATGGGTATGTAATGGGTATGTAATGGGTATGTAATGTGTATGTAATGTAATACCAGATAATACATAAAAAATTATTTATTGTTTCAGGGTAAAAAATTATAAAAATAAACTGGTTCTTGCTTTGACCAGCTACAAATGTTATGGCTTCAAACATTTAATTTTTTGTATAAATAATTACACAGTACCTTATTGTCCGTCCGTCACAGTCTCGTTTTACTCAAAGACTATTTCACAACATACAGTGGCCCAAATTAGGCGTTAACTAAAAATGTATATACTTGTCTTGGAAGTTAGTAGGGGGTGGGGGGGGGGGGGGGGCGGTAGGTTAAAGTGAAAGTTAAAATTTTTCAGATGCCATCGTGTGATATCAAATGAAACTAATGAAAGCATTTTGAAGCATGTTTTCAAAAATATATAATACGTTCTACTTTTTCTTTGACAATTAAAAAAAAAGGCATAAAAATTGCTGTCTTTCAAACTTATCCTTAAAAGTAACGAAAATTATTACGTTTGTTGTCCTTTGGATGTTTTTTTTTTATACAAAGAAAGAGAACTCTGCACTACTGATTTTGTTTCAGCGCCTGCAAGCTAAATCTATCAACATATCAATTAATTTAAAACATCTACGTTACGGAACAATACTGCGCTATTTCATTTGGCCAAACTTTTATATTTAGTTTTAAAACTTGTATAATAATGACTTGTTTGTCTGTTGTCTGTAATAATTCGCGATATAAAAAATTGCTGTTGGTTACCTAACAAGTTGTACAACATAAAATCTAATACCTACTAAAAGTGTTACATTTCACAAAAAAATCTTGTTAAAAAAATCTGCATTACTTTGAAATTAATAATCAAGCATCAAATTTGATAAAAATTCAAAAATGTTTAATTCATGCTTATCGTTGATTAAATATTTCCTGACAATTGAAATCACGATGAATATAACCCTCTTAGTTCGAAATTTTAATTTTATGTTGATAAAAAACTTCTTGCAGCTTCCATTTCAAATTAATTTTAAATAAATGACATGGAAAATAATGTTTCTTATAAATCTCTTTTTATAAAAACTCAATTACTCACGCATTATTTGTTAGCATATATAGAATTCGTGTGTCATAATAATTGACTTTTTGGCTATCAAGAAATCTAATGTATTTAAATTTTAAACTACGATACGCAATGCAATTTAAAATTTCAAATAAGAAAAATATAAATTGGTCGAGAGAGATCGAGAAAGCTCCAAAGATCTCAAGAGAAACGAGATATTCTCGTCTCGTCTCGAAACAAAATTTCTCTCTCGTCTCGTCTCGACGAGAGTCTCTCGTCTCGCGGTATCACTACTGATTTGGTTGTATTGAAATTTTGAGGTAATTGCGGGGGGTTACATTAAACTAAAATTTATATTTTTAGGCCACTGTTACAAAAAAATATATTTTACGGATTTATTAACTTCCTTAAAGTGTATCACTTTTTGTCCGCATTTACTTTTCGACCGCATTTACTTTACTGTGGCTTTTTATAAACTAAAGCCAAAAAAGATCAACTTTACGGCCTTGATATACAAATAACTATTATATGTTTCAGGGACTACATTATTATTGCCTATAAAAGTAACCGAATCATTTTGATGAACTACCTAACTAACGAAGTGCTTTGTGTTAGTATTTTACCCAAAGGAGAGGATGAAGCTGCTTGTATAAGTTGCATAAAATACGATGCTAAATGTAGGCAACTTTTAATTTATTTATAATTTTTTTAAATTAATAGGTACGTTCAATCAAACCGACCAATCTTTGGTCCATAAAATATTCAAACATTGAATTTTTAGCTTTTTACAGATCTTATAGTCCTAGAAGTGAATGGAAAATAAACTGCCTCATAATTAACAAAGGTTTGAGAGTGGCAGTGTTATCTCTGATACACAATGTTTAAAAATCTAACTACATTTAATTTATTTCATTAGTATTAAGAAGTTATCATCAAAGAAACATAAAATTTACATTTAATGTAAAATATGGACTTTTTCCGCGCCATGCTGTCCTGTTTTTGAATCAAACGGTCTTAATAGCTATAACTTCGACATTTCTTTGCAGATGTTGGATTTTTAGCCAGAAGTGAAAAGCGCCATGCCTGCTGTTTGCATCAGTGGCGTTGATTGTTTTTATTTTCAATCCCTTCTTGTTATTCGCGATTCAAATTCTACAAATTTACAATGCTGAAATTTTTGCAAAACTTTGTTTAGAATGAAATTGCAATCTGATTTGTGACGGTTTTATTACCATTTACATGTATACAAAGTACTGCACAATTCACTTCATAATATAAGAATAAGGATATTAAGATTTTTATATAAGTTCATCAATAATAAACGTTTGGTACCTGAAATGTCCTTTAAACCACATAATAAAACATTTCCTGGGTTTAGTAAATACATATTTCTAGATGTTATTGTAGCAACCAATAGGTGAATATTTCCAACAAATTAAGTGATACACATGATAAATATTATATTTATGATGAAAGCACGAAAACTAAACTTAAATTAACACTAAATGAAACTCAAAAACACTATTATAATGAGAATATTATCTAAAAACAGTTAAAAATTCACAAATACAAAATCCCTCCAAAAATAAACACATGTAAATAAACATCCTACTTATAGGAGATAGGCGCGCGAAAATTAATTTGAATCGTGAATACCGGGGTGCGTTCACTTTGAACGTCGAACGACATCGGACGAGCCGAATATCGTTCACTTTCGACGTCGAGTGAAATTTGCTAGCGTTCAGTTTGACAAAAATAATCGTCGGGCGACTTGCTATCACGTCCACCTCGAACACATGGATGAAAGTTGCCGGACTTGCGCTTTGGGAATGTTGGCAATCATCTGTTTATGTTTATGATTTTCCTGGATTAACAAAATAAATAGGTGAAATTATTCCGAATTTATATACCTATTTCCCACCAATTTGATAAATATTACGTAAATATGCCCAAACTACAATTGGAAGACGCTGAAAATAGTACCAAGTATATAATTGATTTAAGAAGACTTTCAACGAGTTCTAACTGGTAGGTAAAGGTAATAATAATCAATCCTTAAATCCTTACTATCTACGTCCTAGGTACATCAAAACCTTGAAAAAATCCACTGAGATGTCCTTCATAACTAAATTTTAATTATTTCTGATTTCAGATAATTTCTATGCACAGGAGTTGCTGAATCATGCAAGGGTGACTGCTGCCGAAGTACAGTACTCAGCAGAATATGATGAAGAAGAACATTTCGAAACCAAAGCCGAAACCGAGGCCGAAACTATTGCAGGTAACAAATTCTATGATTTGATTATTTATAGTGAACAATAAAACGGATCTTGGTAAATTATATTGGGTTGTTAATTGCCACCCAATAGCCAATCTTTTTTTTTTTTCAATTACATCCATTCAATCCATGTTAACAAAATAAGCGAGCTTCTTGTGCATTCTCCAGTTTTTTAAACGTGTTATCCTTATTTTGCTTACCTCATTCTTAAAGAAACACCGTGATTTGATTTATTTTTTATGGCATTAATGTGCACAATCAATCAGATTTGTTCCATTGTATAGCAATCATCCTTCAAAACTGATATGTTGTGATAACTGTTTCAAAATTTAATTTGTTAACTGCAATTTTAACAAAAACTTGAGACAAATAATTATAAACAGTCATTGCTCTTGAATAATATGATTTTTTTTTTCAGATAAGAATGCTTCAAATTTGGTTAAAACGTAAGTCGCAACAGTGACAAATCTCCAGAAAACTGTTAGATCTGCTGCGAGCTCTGCAAATAAGGAATTAAGATCACCATGGACAAGAAGTGAAATTTTGAAACTAATAATTTTATATGAAGAAAATCAAGAGTCTAAGTCAACAGTAATCAGAAAAGATCGGTTTTGGAATATGATTGCTGATAAGATGGAGTCAGACAAAAATGGTGAACAATGTCGTAACAAATTCAAGTATTTGAAAACAATGTATATAAAAAAAGGACAACATGTCTGCGAATAAAACTGGAGAATCCAAAATAATGTTTACCTATTTTGATGAAATGAATGAAAAAAGATCACAACATAGAACCGGTGGCAATAGCATCGTCTTCTAATAATAACTTCCCATCAGAAACTACAACACATAATGATTCTGATAATGAAAATGTTGATGATCCTCCATCAAAAAAAAACAAAACGGGTGGTAAAAATACCAAACGAAGTTGCAAAAATTCTCTCAGAGAAAGAGAGAAATACTGAAAGGAGACATAAAGAAAATTTAGAGTAGGTAAATTTGTGTAGGTAACTGATTTCTCTAGCTAAAGATTTAGTTCCAAAAAATCAATAAATTCTGCGTGAGACACCCTACTAGGCTTCTATGCCTAATTTTTAACCGACTTCAAAAAAGGAGGAGGTTCTCAATTTGTCGCGATATTTTTAGAAGAAGATTTATTTTTGTTACCAAGTTCTTATACAAAAATGTGCCATAGTATCTAGTCTTGTACCAAAGAAGCGAAAAGGTTAATAACACATTTAGTTTCTTTTTGTGATTTTTGCAATATTAGATATTAGAATTTGTTTTGGTTTAGTTAGATTACTACGCTACAACCTAGTTTTTTGACAATTAATTTTTTTTTATTAGAATTAATTTTATTTTCCAGTAATCTCAATTAGTAATATTAGTATTGGCCTATTAGGATTTCTGAAGAGTTTCCTAATAAAATATTCAAAAAATACTCTGGTTTATGTTTCTTTGTGTAGATTCTAGAAAAAAAATTCCTATGAGCGAGCGGAAAGTCATCACATTCGTAAATTTTTAGAATTATTTTTCTGGTAGATATTTAACTACTTTTGCAGCATTCAGCGTTCATAGGAAGATTGTGCGAAAAGTTCTATTTGGACTTGTAAGGTAAATCACTATTGGAATTCTAAATAATAAGACACATGAATTGCGAGTAAAATCATTTTAATTCTATAAAAGTATCATTACTTCTAGTTTTAATTTTGTTGTCAACATTATAATACGTGTAGCATTTATGCTAGGCTAGGGCTGCAGTTGCCTTGCTAAGGCATCTCTGCGTGCATTGCCTTCTACAGCCAATGCTCTAATATCGACATGCACATTATTTTCCATTTCTAAATCATCATTGTTATGAACCACAGGAAGGCCTTCTTGAACATAGTTTTCAATGTTCTCTTCTCTAGCTAACAGGCACATATTGTGAAGGACACAAGCTGCTTTCATAACATATGCATAGAGATCAAATCTGTTCATATCTAAGTGTTGTGAACGTCGCATTCTTCCATGAAATAGAGCAAATGTTCGTTCAACACATTGTCTCAACTTAGCTTGGACAGTATTAAAATTAATTTGTCTTGGAATCAATCCTCCACGATTTATATATGATGGTATACACCATTTAAGTATAGGGTATGCTTTATCATCAATTATAAACTGTTTGTCCCGCAAATACTCTTGGGGATTCTGTAGAATCTTAGTATAAATGTCCGAGTTTTTGAAAATTCTAACATCTGATACTGAGCTTGGGTGCCCTGTAAAGCAGTGGAGAATCCTTAAATGAGAGTCTGCAATTATTTTCAAAGTAATCGCATGAAAACATTTCCGATTTACATATACTTCTGGATTTTCTTTTGAAGCTTTTATTGGAACATATGTGCCATCTATAGCGCCAACTACATTTGGAAAATCACCAAACCTTAAAAAATCTCTTGCAATTTCGGTTCTTTGTTCAGGATTTGGCCATACTATAAATCTAGTAGACCCTTGATTTAAAGCTCTTATAACTCTATAAAAGCACCTCCATAGGGTTGATTTGGCGATGTCAAAACGTTCTCCAATCGATCTGAAAGGAAAATTGGTTTATTGTACCATGGTCGGTGTATAAAATTCAGCAATATAAAATATGTAGTAATATGGAAATTGGAAAGTATAAAAACCTACTTATAGAGAATACCTATGTAGATATAAATAGTTGGTTATAGTAGGTACAGTTAAGGAAAAAATCCCGAACATGAAGGTTATGAGTTTATGTCAGTTTTAAATAATATTTTGGTTTGAAAATTTAATTATTAGTGAAGATTCCAGCAAAAGATTAAAAAAATAATTTGATAAAACTAAACATGGAATGAAAAATCTAACACAATATAAAGATGCTCTACTTTACCTGTAAGGAGTAGCAAGAATCCATAAAACCATTATAAGCTGTTTCCTCTCCTCCACTGTCTTTCTTGAGGCATTTGGTTTTTTCCGTAATAAGGGTGATATGGCATTCTCCAAAATAACAAATATTTCACGAGTGATTCTGAAATAAAAGAATAAACCTTCATTTAGGTGCTACTGCTATCCCAGGTGTAATGCATTAGAAAATAAAAAGTGGGTAGGTATCTGGTAGCAGAGAATAATCGGTAGCTCACCCTTACCTGAAATGATTCTGAAATTGTGTATCATTTAGCCGGTAAGTTACCTTGTCGGACGTTTCAAAGTGAACGCACTCCAGAGGAACGCAAGGAAGCCAAAAATGTCCGTTTTTTTGGAAAAGAATTTGGAAAATGTGGAAACTAAATCAAGTTCTTTTTGTTGTTGAGTGGATCACTAGATCGATACCTCGGGATATCTTTGCCATTTTTTTGATACTTTTGCGTTCCTATGGAAATATGGCCATTTTCCGTTTTT